ATATTTTTAAAAAATGTATATAAATTATTATTATACTCCCCCATACAACACCTGTACATATTTATGACTTATAAAGAAGGAGAAAAAGACTGGGAGAGGATTGGAGGAAACCGGAAAACATTGATTGAAATCAAATAACTAGTTAGGGCTAGCCCCCCCCAAAAAAAACAACAACAACAACAACAAAACAAAAAAAAAAAACAAAAAAAAAACCCAAAAAAGAAACAAAGACAAAAAAGGGTGAAACTAAAACCACATAATATGTTTTGAAAAAAAATTACAAAGAAGATTTGAATGTTAGAATGTTTAGGGTACGCATACACACTTTCAAGACTATGAGCCACTCATAATGATTTGTCTAATTTCAATTTATGTTCTTAACAAATAGGGAATGGTCAACTTGGAGCATTGCGAAGCAGATGACTGGACGTACGAAGTCTTGGAGGGCTCGCACAAACATTATGACAACTTCATGGAGAGTAGCCAACAATGGCACTGCACTTGTCTAAAGCCTGAGCACATCGCCTGGTTTGAGGAGAAAGGTTGCTCCCGCAAACGAGTGGCGTGTCCGAAAGGTGGCATGCTCGTGTGTGATGCAAGACTTTTCCGGGCAAACGCAAGACCAACCCGTGGACGTGCCAACCCCGGAAGATGGCGGTTCCTGATTTTCGTGTGTATGACTCCAGCCTCGTGGGCCACTGACTCCGACCTAGCGGTGAAAAGAAAGGCGTACGAGAATCTCATGCTCACCAAACACTGGCCATCGCAGAAAATCGAACTATTTAGAACAGACATCTACAGTAAACAAGCAAGCGATCCGTACCCAGAATTCACTTTACCGGAAGTGGCCTGTACAGGCAAGGCAAAGAAGTTGGCGGGTGTCATGGCGTACAGTGATAATGAAGAAGACCCAGAATTTCGCCCCACTTGGAATGAGGACAAATGGGGTGCCTTTATTGATGAAGAAAAATTGAAAAATCTGGCTATATCTCAAAGAAAGTTAAAAAAAGATACAGGACAGGAAGCCGAATAATTTGCGTTGTGAAGTCTCCAGCAGATGTTTCCTATCAATATTGCAATACATGTATAACTTATAAGCATAGCCTACTTACATGCTGCTAAATGTATGCAGGCCGAAAGCCTAGATGCAGGCCCCTCTCTCAAGAAAAAGAATTGGAGCCTTGCACAGTTGATACTTAATAATAATATTATGACTGTAACTGTTATTTCTCTTTCCGAAGCGCACGATGTGCGTGTGTGTTTGTGTGTACGGGGAGGTTGTCAGTTTCAGGAAAAGAAAATGAATGTCATCGCCATGCTTAGTTAAAATGCAGGCCCATAAAAACTTGGTAATATTATTTTTGAAGAGTCTGGGTTTTTTACGTCACAAAGTGATTGTGGTATATCATTTAGGCTCAGGTTGTGGTCTGAACGTACACACAGCCTGTTCTGGCTGGAAGTGTTGGAACTGCTCACCGTCTTAACGAGCCAAGTTAAGCTGATAAGGCGTAACACATTTATGATCAAATTATTTTACGTCAAGTTTATTTTAGACAGTATCTTTAGGAAATGAACAGCCTCATTTCACTTTCAGACTAATTAAGGCCAGCTCCCAGGAATCACAGCGCTGGCAGCATAAAGTGTAGTGTTTTTGCAAGAGGCAAAATCAACACGGAGAAGGTGAAGGAGTTCACGTAGTCCATAGTATTAAAGACTTATTCTTAACTCGTCCATTTTTTATCGAGTACTTTCACAATTATTTGGCTTACTTTTTTCTTCTCCCACATATGCATTGGGTAATAGACTCTCATTCTTATTAAAGTTATCAAACGCGATAAAGAACATAACTGACAATGACATGTTTGCTCACTATTTTAACTGGCTATCTCAATCTTATCAAAGATCTCGAATAACAAACATAGTAGGTCACTCATTTCTATAACAGTAAAATTAATTTATTTTCCTACCTTGATTAGGCTGTGTAAGGTCTTTCCTGTAAAATAAATACCCATGTACAATGTGTAAAATAAATACGCAAGTGCTTTAAATGTATTATATTATATGGTGTAAGTTTACTCGTGTGAATCTTTGTGAGAACTTTGTTTATATTTTCAGGCAATATGAGAGTGAATGGGTGATGAGGACAAAAATGAGAAAGCTGGGCGGAAACCGCAAGCATTATATCGTATCTTAATACATGTATTTTGTGCCAGTATTCGGGGTGGGGGGGTGGGGGTGGGGGGGGGGGGGGGTGGGGGGTGGGCGGGGGGTAATCGATCTGTACAATTAATTTTATCTAAGAAAGGTAACCTGCAGATCTGTCCTCCCTTCAAAGATCAAGGCAGGGTCTGTCTTTTCTACCGAATCCAAACAAAAACATAATTTTTGTTCATTCTTTTTATTTGTACCTTAGAATACTCCAAGTTCCCCATGTTGAAAGTATTTAGCGGTTTCTCTTGTCATGAGCACAAAGTTATAGCTTCTCTTCCACTTCCATACACAAGGGCGCTGAGGACATAATATTCTATAAACATTTTTGTATTGGTTTGTAGTTGTTTCTTTCACGTGTCCAGACTCATTTTGACAGCCTTGCGATTGTTGATGCAGCTTCACCAATCTGTCTATTGATTTCGAAGTCCATTGAGAATGCGTCGGGTAATTGTTGAGCCTAGATAGATTGTTGTCTATTACAACCTGTAGCTGTTGGTGGTAATGGTAGGTTGACCTACGGTGTCCTGACCCAGGATTTCAGTTTTCTTAAGGCTGATTGTTTAGTATGAGTTAGTCTTCACAAGCCTTAGCGAAATGACTGACTAAATTTTGAAGGTAGTCTTCTTCAAGTTCTTGAAAAGCTGTTGTGTCAGCGTCATAGGCAAATAGCGTGTCTCTAGTAAGTAACATGCGTATTTTTGTTTTTGCCTTCAGTCTGGACATAGATATCATACAGTTTCACGTCAGATTGAATAAAGAGGTAAAAGCATTCCAATTTACGTTCTGAAGGAATGATTTAGTGTTACGCGAAGTTAATGCTGTAGAGGGTGGGAGAAAGTAAACAGCTCTGTTAGACTCCTCTTTTCACACCAATTAGGCTGGATGATGAATCGTCGTATTTAACAAATGCCTTCCTGCCAGTGTAAAATGGCTCTGTTATTAAATACAATAGTCTCTGTGGACACCCGATACTTGCGAGAATTTTGAAAAAGCCGTCCCGACTGACGAGGTCGAAGGTTTTTGTTAGATCGATGAACTTTATTTAGAGTGACTATAGTTGCTCTCTACTTTTCTCCTTGAGAAGGAAGATGATGTCTACTGTAGAGTCGTTGAGCAATCAGGTATGGTTACATTGCGATTATTGATGTACATGTCTGTCAGCTAGCTTCTGGAGTCTGCTCAGGACCAAACGAGCATCCCGACATTGCTTAGCAAAGAGATTCCTATGTAACCATTGAATTCACTGCGGTCTCTGTTCTCAAACGGTATTGTTGTCTGGCGCATGTCGTGGGGGACTTGGCCCTCTTCCTAGCATTCTTTTTTGGTAAACGCACGGCACTCACAATTACATACGGTCATATTATGAACATTAAACATTTTCAGTTGGTTGCCCGGGTGGCGGCCATAGCCTACTCTTTTCTATTGTGGACCACCAAGGGCTCTTTAACGTATACAACTTGCACACGAGACTTCCGACATTATTCGCCCTTGTCCGAGAAGGATAGGTGTTACATCTTACCTACCACAAGATCGGGGGTGTGGGTGAAAGACAACAGTAAGAAGGAGTCAAGTAGTAGCTGGAGAAAGGCACTAGAGTTAGGAGCCCAGAGGGAGAGGAGGGGGTAAAGGAGGTGAGGGGATGGGGGCAGAAAGTGGAGACGAAAGCAGACGACAGAAAATTGTTAGCAATGTTAGAGAGCAGGAAAGGAGGAGAAAGGACAAAATGTTAAAGTTAGAGTTAGAGAAGAAAATTGTCCGTTATTATCCGGATTCGAACCTGGGACCTATTGAACGAGAGGCGAACTCCGTAACCTCTCGACCACGAGAGTCCCCCCCCCCCTTTTTTTTTCTAGCATTGGCATAATAGCAGGCAGCAAAGGAGAGGTCCCCTGGCACTCTCGGTCACTTTAACAGTAATTCCCTGCTACTTTTCTTGTGGGCAGACGGTCTATAGCTGCACTAAGTTCCTCCAGTCTTAGGGTCTCATCTAGTTTTTCTACCATGAGCGATTGCTTTTCAGTTTCCGATTCCAAGGTGGCATTAATGACGATGCTTTCCCTGCTGTTCAGACCGAGTACTGTCACTGTTCAACACAACGCTCAATTACTTTTTGTTTTTTTGTTCTTACCTGAAATAGTTTCGCCAGAGGTGAATTTCAATGGACCTATCATGTTGGGCCTATAGCTATTTTTAAGACCGTTGTATGCGTCCCTGGTATTCTCGGTGTCAGCAGCTGTGGAATACTCTGACACAGCAGGGCCAAGTCCTTGGCTCAGATTGCGTCTTGCTGCTCTGGGAGCGTACAGGGACTACCTCTAAGTTCTCACATAATTTTTCTTTTGATTCCTGAGTAAAACTGAGTGTGGGCGCATAATCACAAATGAGGCTTATAAATATTATTATTAGCTCGTCTGGTGTATGAAGATGAATAGTGAGGATCCTCTCTGTTCCATTTGGCGGGTACCCTAGAATAGTCTAATTGCTCCTTCTTTCCTATTAAATATTATATCGTCCTTTTCTCTTCTTCTTTTTTGTGTTTGATACTCCTTTGTTAACACCTTTAATCTTCGGCACTCAATTGTATTGCAAGCGAATTAAAATTCTTACCACAACAAAGCAACCTGTCCCATCCTCACTTGCCTCAATCATTTTCAGCGGGAGTTGGGAGATCGGTTTGTATTAGAGAACCGATTCTCCAATGGGCACTGGATCCGGGGTTTTACTCGGAGTTGATTGGCCGATCTTAAAAGCCGAGATGGTATGTATTCGATGACCATGTCGCAAAGATATGATGGCGCCATGTTGTTGATGCACATACGAGTAAAACAAATGGCAGCTGTCTTGTATTGAATGCGTGCTTTCACGTAAAGCTAGTGCAGTTGGATAAATATAATATTGGTGTTGCAAACACCCTGAGAGCTTTCTTCAGAATTATGCAAGCAGCTTAAATTGTGCAGTAGATCACTTCCTGTTTGGTTATGGTGTAGGTTCAATACCTTTTTGGAACCACCAAACTTACTCCAATGACATCGATCAGCGACAGGACTGATCCAAGAGACCATAGAAGCTCAATTAACCAAAGTTCAAAAGAATCTTAAAGAGGGTTCCACCCTGCGTTTCTCGTACTGCAGTAAAACATATCTCCCAGCTCAAAGACTCTCTTGTCTCTTGATTCAGGATATCCCAACCCCCCTTTCATACAAATGACACCAACGTATCTTTTGACCTCATATTGTTATATCGAAGCTTTTTAAAAAAGTCTCACTGAAGTAGATCTATCATAGAAGAGTTTTATAAAAATGACTGACATCTGACCCTGAAATTTGTGGAGCAAAAAAACTGGATGTGCTTTTGACTTTGAGAAAAGATGGTGTTGAAGGCCGATAATGCGCCCCTTTAACTGGGCACTAAATCAAGACAAAACAGTTCTTTAAAGTCTGCGATCGGTTTAAGTTTATAGACTTGTTCATCTATGGAACGTGAACTCTCACATATTTGTCAAGTTCTTAAATGTCTATATCCCTCAGACAGGAAAGAAAAGTACCTATTCACAAAAGAATATGAAGACTCAAAAGTTAACAACAAATTGTATTTTATTATAAATATTTGTAAAATTCCATTTATTACTTCTATATAGTTTTTATATATAGCGTCAAATAAAAATTGTTAGTTTAAGAGAGAATAATATAAACAAAAATAAAACTATCACACTTTGGTACTTTGTAAATTCGATAGGAATGGACTTTAAAAACAATTAATATTTTAAGACAATCACAAATAAAAAAGGAGTTCAAACAGGTTAAAGGTCACAAATTTCACAATTGATTGTTTGCTGATACAAATTCATCGATTCTTTGACTATCAAGCAATAAGGCAAACGACTCATTATTTTGCTACTTAGAGCGTATCCCACGTCATCATATTCGGCATTCAAATCACATTCACAAAATTACCTCCCTATTCTTATAGGATTATGAAATGTTAAAAAGAAATAGAAAAAGAATCAGGATCACCCTTCAATGTGATGAGGTTGAGATAATGAATAATACCAATTTCAGTACAAACCAATCCCATATAACCTTTGACCTGTAGTCTGGAATATATATGAGACAAAGAATGGCACGAGGCTCCCACTTTCAGTAACAATCTGTTGTCCTACTAATGGGAGCATCCTATTCAGGAAGAGGAAGGGAAAGATAAAATTGACATATCACAGTTTTGTCCTTTGCAAATTGGGGGTTCACTTGACCTCACAATGGCTCCATGAACCAGTACATTTAAAGCTTATAATTCATTATGTAAACTCCTCGTTGTGAGCTCAAAATACAAAATATGTGTAATACATTTTCTTGCTGTGGCGGACGGTACACAATATTCGTATTACACAATTTTCAAACTTTACAACCTTAAGTTTCTTAAATACGGACACACAAAAAAATATCCTTCACACATTGTTAATACAGTAGATTTTAAGAAAAAGGTAAAAGTAACTGGGATGCACAAAGAGTAGAGAGGGCCAAAATAAATTAACAAAAGGCCTCATAATAAAACACAAATACAAAAAATATAAATACAAAAATTTTCCTTTTGGCACCATACTGTAAAATGTTGATCACCAAAGGCAAAGAGGGAAGGAAACAGACGGGATGAAAACCTTTGAAATGCCGTAACTGCAAAAACCACAGATCCATATCAAAAGCTGAGAATATACTTTAAAGTTCAGTTAAACTGCTGAAAATAGGGCACTCATGCTATATTTATCTAACTGGTAGAATACACTATGTTGATTTCAGAGCATGAAAAGAATATACATA